CGATGGGAACAGGTGCGATGGGAACAGGTGCGATGGGAACAGGTGCGATGGGAACAGGTGCGATGGGAACAGGTGCGATGGGAACAGGTGCGATGGGAACAGGTGCGATGGGAACAGGTGCGATGGGAACAGGTGTGATGGGAACAGGTGTGATGGGAACAGCTGTGATGGGAACAGGTGCGATGGGAACAGGTGTGATGGGAACAGGTGTGATGGGAACAGGTGTGATGGGAACAGGTGTGATGGGAACAGGTGTGATGGGAACAGGTGTGATGGGAACAGGTGTGATGGGAAAAGGTGTGATGGGAACAGGTGTGATGGGAGGCGCTTGCAGGGCGCACCTCGGAGAGCGGCACGAGGCGGTGGGGGCACTGGTCGAGGAAGCAGCGCCACGACCCCGCGGCGTCGCGCCAGAGCACGAGCGGGCGGCCCACAATGGTGATGGCGTGCGGGCGAGTCGCGTCCATGTCAGCCGTCACGCCCACGGCGTACCACGCGCGACTCCACTCCACCGTCCCGCCCTCCTCCGCCCTCCCCTCCGCCGCTGACGCCGCTCTCAGCTGCGCCTCTGCGTCGCCCGTTACAGTCACATCGTCCCTGCTTTCGCTGGACGCCGACTCCGCCGCGGGCGCCGCCCTGGCGACGCGGGACGGCGGGCGATGGGGGCGGCGGGCGGACACGGGCGGGCGCAAGCCCAGCTGTGGCAGGCGCAAGCTGCTCGTGCTGAGTTGGTGGCGACGCGGTTGCAGCGGATGCAGCGCCGCGCGGTGGAGGAGGGGGCGCGGCGCAAGGGAATCTGGGCTGGACGCGACGCGAGCAAACCGGCCCGAGGGACAACGACGCGCCGCCAGTGGCGCCGCAGAGCCGACTGCGGCGCGCGGACGGACGCGACAGCCCAGCGCTGCCTCCATGGCGGGCGGCGGGATCCTCTACTCGGGGGCTCGTCTCGGAAGGATGCGGATGCGCGCTGGACAGCCGGCTCCGAACGGCTGACTCCTCGCACGCACACTGCTCTCTCGGCCTACTGCAGCTCTTTTCTGCGCGTCCCTGCAGCAGCCAGTGCTCGAAGCAGCGAGCGAGCCTGGAGAAGCGCGGAAGTTTGTGAGTCGTGAGTCACGACTGACTAGCTACCAGTGCGCCAGGTTCCGCCTGTTGGAGCGTCAAGTTTTGGATGAGGGGAGTCCCGCTCCTACACTTCTTAAATCCCCAAAGTTACCACATTTAGCGTTGTAACACAGCATTTTACAAAAAGGGCGGACACGACCAGCTTTTGTTCACGAGACGGCACTCCAGCTGCACGTACCTCGAGTCGTGTGACTCACGTTACTACATGCAGCGTGCGCGCGAACTAGGGTCCAGCACTGCGTCCTGCCCACTACAGAGGTGGCCCCTCTAATGGCTCGCACACTTTCGCCAGTACAGCACGAGACTCGCCAAAACCACCTCCGCTTTGGCAAACCACATGGCCAGGCAACTCGCATGTGCAAAAATGCCAGACCTATTCTTCACGAGGGAACCGGTTACCTAGGTTTCCACGCGGACCTGGCACTGTTGAAGTTTGTGTGGGGATATGTGTCCACGCGCTAGTGGGGTGGACCCGGCTCACAGTGCGTTCGTTTCTAGGTACGGTGATCTGTTTTGAACCCCGGCACGTGTTTGGGCACTAAAATTCCCAAAATGTACGCGTTGGACACGCCCTGAGGGCTGGCTATCGCGTTATGTGGAAGGCAGATGCTGGGGTTAGAGCGTGGTACACCTGGCAATGTTTCACGCAGCTAGATCACCAACATCACAACCCTAGGATCATTAGCGGTTAAGGGCGCGGTACACAGTTGTTCAAGAGCTGTTCAAGATGGAAATGACGAACAATGCGTTCAAGCTAGCTTGAACGGGGTTCAAACGAGGTTGGTGAGAAAATTCTGGTCAAAATAAACATTTTGGAACATGTTACAAAAGCGGGTGGACAAGACTCGTCTAAGAACTAATTTCAGTCGAGATGACGAACCTGCCTACAACACTGGAAGTTGTGACTCCTGTAACCGTTTCGCTACCTTCTCACTCACGGGCGACTGCTACTTGGTGCGCGAAAATCCGTTTCGTCGATTATGTTGACCAACGATGCGGTACATAATATTTTTGCTGACGAACGAGTTGTTCAAACCAGCAGTCGTGTGTTCGTCAGCTGGCTGATCAAGACGCGCAACCTTCTTGACCAGCCTAGGTACAACTTACCGTAGTAAACAGGGTACCCAAAATTTGTGTTGTATGATCAAGTCTTGAACAGCTCTTGAATAACTGTGTACTGTGAACATTTTATGGGGACACATCGCATGTATTGGAAATTCGCATTGACCATGTTGACTGCGTTACTGACCGAAACGCAACAGCCTCTGTAGGTAAATTTTCCTTTTCCTTGGAAGGGGTTTACTGCTACGCGTACAACCCCAACATTTCGGACTTCGCACGTTCGGCTGACATCCACCATTCCGAGGCTGCCCCGCGTCGCCCCCGGTTGTCCGCTAGCCAAACCTGCACCCAACCTCGCATCTCCGAGGTTCCCTCCTAGCTACAATAGCTACTATATTATCACGTGCCTTCATTGTATTGTGAGTTCATTGAGTCACAGCCTCGTTATCCGTTTTCCGCGCAACTCTGTTTTACAACTCATACACCTGGTATCTGAGCTACCTACCTAGTTCACCTCGCTTTTCGAGTTTAGTGGCACAGGTTGGCTAGTACAATGGACTGCACGACGTTGGCTGCAAGGTTTGTAATTCAAACCTGCCCGACTCCGATAGTTCTTACCACGGATATGGGCGCACTGACCCGCTACTGAAACAAGCCCTTTTATCCCAATGGTCTAGTGGTTGGGATTCTGACAGAAGCAGTTAACAAAATGATGGTGCAAATGGCAGAAATGCAGGAGAGCATTAAGTCATTGATGACAGAAGTGGAGCATCTACGTTGAGAAAACGTCGAGCTACGACAGACGCAAGGTGAAGCGTGTCAGGAGTCGCCCGTTGAAGAAGGCGATACCACCAGCCATGGCGTGAGTGGCGTCGTTACAAGTGGCAAACTCACACGCAGAAACGACGAGAGCGATAGGCGAGAAGCGCCGGCACCAACAACACTTGCAGTTATTACAATCAAGAAAAAACCCGCGAGCCCGCCCCCGTTCAACCCGACCGACAAGGCGACCACAGTTAAGGGGTGGCTATTTGGCGTAAAGGTTTTATTTACTGCAGCGCGAGTTGACGACGATGCCACTCGTATTAATTACTCGGTTTTGCTTCTCCAAGGACCCACTCTGGAGTGGTGTCGACGTACCTTGGACACGGGGACCCCGACAGGTGTGACACATGCGGCAGACGGGACCTCAACTTCGGCTAATCAAGTGGCAACATCAATATTCAGTGTGACTAGGATTCGCACGTGGAAGGAGTGGGGCGTAGCCTTGCAAGATCGTTTCGAGCACGTATCCGCCTCGGAGCAAGCCCGCATGAAGCTGCGTGCCTGGTCGCAGTTGGCTTCTGTTCAGGACTACCAAGTGGACGACATGGCGGAGCTGGAGCGGTTGGATAAGTATATCAGCGGACTTAATTACGAGATAGAGTATGAGGTTTGCCGATGCCGCCCGACTACGTTCCTGGAAGCCGTACGGCTGGCAGGATCTACAGATGCGCTGATGCAGTGGGCGAGGGGAGGTTCCCGGGAGGGAAACCGTTTCGCAAACAGACCCAACGGGCCACAATCAACGGAGTCCATGCACCCGACCGCCCCTTTCCGGGGCTGTGTTATAAGTATGGGAAATCGGGTCACATGTCTAGAGACTACCACGAGAAAACGTCGGCGAAAAGGAACGACGGGAAAGAGCCAGGAAATAGGAAGAGTCTGTGATATACGGGCCCCTTACCGACTGTGCTCTGTCGCCCAAACTTCACCATCCCCACCGAGTCGTGGTTCGATTCATGCAACGACGCCGGACGGCTGCGACGTGCTTCTGAGACATGATCGGCTGCGACTACACAACCCCATCATCGACTCGACGACGGAATCGTGCAGTATCAGCAAGCACGATGGGCTCATTACATTACCTGCATGGACCCCGGACTACATTCAGGCCCAGTGCGTCAAAGCCATCACTATTGCCCGCCATTTCAATCGAGGCGCGCAGCTGTTTGCTGTGTGTTTGCGCGAGTTGGCAACTGACACCGACGGAAAGGACATCGAGAAGCTGTGCACAGGACGCCCCGAGGACCACAAAATACACAGTAACCTGGCGCGCAACTGACTGTTCGTACACAGTGGCGACTGACTCAGCCGGAACTCGAGGAGCTACGAAGCCAAATTGACGGACTGTTGGAGAAGGGGTTTATATGACCCAGTACATCTCCCTTCGCAGCTCCGATCATGTTTACGCCGAAAAAGGACGGCGGCCTTCGCATGTGCATCGACTGTCGTGCGCTCAACAGGGCCACCATCAAGTCCCGCTATCCAATCCCACGTACCGACGACCTCCTCGATCAGCTTCGCGGTGCTCGCTCTTTCTCGAAAATCGACTTCGTGGCGGTTACCACCATATTTGGGTCTTCGCCGACGATTGCTACAAGACCGCGTTTTGAAACCGCTACGGAAGCTACTGTCAGAATAGTGAAGGAAGGAGTGACTGAACTAGCAAGCAGGTGGGTACAAGTAGGAAACCTAAAAGTGTTGTACCCTATATGAACTACCCCACTACAGCCTACACAGGCTATAGCATATAAGTTTGACACACCCCCATAGGCAAAGTGGGGGAGAACAAGAGGTCAGAAGACCGGTCAAGAAAGGCAAAGCAAGCTCAGGGTGGATCACGACGTCACCACGCATTCTGAGCACAAGAAAATGGCCACAAGGCCAGTTCACATGCAGAGTTATATAAAGGAGAACAAGCAATACAGTGATCACAACCTAGCAAGTGTAAGCATGCAGGTATATGTATAGAGATCACAGTACAAGCAGAGTCAAGAAGTAAGCAAGTGAGGCACAGTAGGCACAAGGCCTAGAACAGTACAGAAACGCTGATGATCACAAGGCTGAAGTGCCTTGGTGAAGACATCAGCAGTGTTGGCCCGAGTGGCCACGTAAGCAAGATGAAGCTGACCACGCTGCTGCAACTCTCGAGCAAGGAAGTAGCGCAGAGCGATGTGCTTCGTTTTGTGCTCCAGTCTGTGCTCCTGACACAAGGCAATCATGGCCTTGTTGTCGACGTACAGCACTGGAGGAGAACGAGGCGGCTCTCCCAGGTCGGTCAGCAGGTAGGTGAGCCAGCGTAACTCCTGTGCAGCCATGGCCCCTGCGTAGATCTCAGCCTCACAACTGGAGCTGAGAACAGAAGACGAGCGGGTAGACCGCCAAGAAACAGAGCCGGAGCCAAGGCTGAAGGTGTAACCCTGTGACGACCGCTGCGTAGCCAAGTCGTCAGCCCAGGAAGCGTCTGCGTGACCAGTGAGGACAACTCGAGCCCGTCCTCCAAGCACAAGCCCCATGCCCGACGTACGGCACAAGTAGCGCAACACCTTCTTAGCGGCATCCATGTGCTCCTTCCTGTGTCTGCCAGGAGCGACATAGCGTGCTAGAATGTTAAGAGGGTAGGCAAGGTCAGGTCGAGTGCAGGTCATCAGGTACATGAGGCAGCCCACAAGCTCTGGATACGGGCCACTCGGCTCTACGGACTCGTCCGAAGGTGGAGCTGAGAGCGAGTGACCGGTAGGCAGAGGAGTGGACTGTGGCGAGGAGTACGTGAAGCGGAAGCGCTGAAGGACCTGCTGCACCATGTGTGACCGAGTCAAGGTAATGATGCGCTGTGCTCTGTCCCGGGTGATCCGCAAGCCAAGATAGCTTGTCAGCTCACCCAGGTCTGTGCACGTGTGTCTCTTCTGCAGCTCCGACTTCACGTGGGCGAGTCCCTCAGTGTCAGCAGTAGCAAAGACCAGGTCGTCTACATACACGAGAACGTAGAACGGCGGCAGAGTGGTGTCGGTGCGTAGAAACAACGACGGGTCGGCAGTAGAAGGAGCAAACCCAAGAGCAGCAAGAGTCGTCCTCAGTGTGTCGTGCCACTCACGGGGTGCCTGGCGGAGACCGTAGACTGGCCGCCGGAGGCTCCACTGGGTACCAGCAGGAAACGACCCAGTGAAGCCAGGTGGGCGGCGCAGCCAGATCTCCTCGTGCAGGCTGCCCTATAGGAAAGCAGTGCTGAAGTCAAGAGAGTGAAGCTCGTAGTCACGCTGAGCGGCGACGTGCAGCAGAACCCGAAGAGTGGTCATCTTCGGGGTAGGGGAGAAGGTCTGGAAGAATTCAACTCCCTCTCGCTGTCTGAAGCCTCGTGCAACGTAACGCGCCTTGAAGACAGGCGGAGAACCCGGCGGCCGCTTCACCCTGAAAATCCACATGCCACTGACGATGTTCGCCCCAGGCGGGGGAACCTCGTCGACGTAGGTGCCTGTGGACTTCCAGGAAGCCATCTCTGTGTCCATGGCTGTCTGCCACTGAGAGGAGTAGGGACCCTCTATCGCCTCTGCGTAAGAGCGCGGGGTCGGGATGTCTGGTGCATCCGGGTCTCCCTCAGGGGCAAGCAGCATGGACACGAGATGAGGTAAAGCAGCGGCGAAGCACTCAAACTCCTCCTGTCTGTCCTCAAGGACGTCCGTGCCAAGAGCACACTCACCACCGACGGACGGAGGACAGAAAGACTCAGACTCAGACTCAGCAACAAGACTAGCGGCGTAGTCGAGACGACAGGCGGCAGCAAAGTCAACAAGCTCAGCAACTAGAGCAGACGCAACAGTGGACTCAAACGAAGGGTCAGTGACAACAGTGGCCAGGAAACGCGTGACAGTAGGACTAGCAGCACGAAGGGAGTCAGACTCCGGGTCCGGACCGTCAGGAAGAGAGGACACAGGAGGAGACGGCAGAGGGACACGCAGTGGAGCAGTGGAAGGAAGAGGACGCTCATGCGGAACACGACGACCAGTGCGAACAGCGCGAACAGGCGACTCAGGACGAGACTCAGGCGACGCAGGACGAGACTCAGGCTCACGACGCTCCGTAAGACCTCTAGTCGGTCCAGAGTAAGGAGAAGGACCAGGTAGTGTAGAGGCTGGCTGTAACTGCGACTGCGACTGGACAGGCGGCGGACTCAGTAGGGGAGGAGAAGGACCAGTAGAATGCGGGAGGCCAAGTACCTGCTGAAGGAGTGGAACGTAGTACGGCCGCGGCCGCGCAGCGCCTCCAGAAACAGCAGAGACAGCACCAGTACCCGCAGCTCCAGGGTCTCCAGCTACAACTCCCGCAGCACCACCAACTGCAGCACCTCCAGCAGCTCCAGCTCCAGCAGCACCTCCAGCAGCAACAGCTCCAGCACCTCCAGCTCCAACTCCTGCAGCACCACCAGCACCAGCAGCTCCAGTACCTCCAGTACGAGCACCTCCGGGACCAGCGGCTCCAGCACCTCCAGCAGCTCCAACACCAGCAGGACCTCCAGCAGCGCCAGTACCTCCAGTACGAGCACCTCCAGGACCAGCGGCTCCAGCAGCTCCAGCACCAGCAGCACCTCCAGCAGCTCCAGCTCCAGAAGCACCTCCAGCAGCAGGCCCCGTAGCTCCAGCAGCACGGCTACAGCGCCGAGCGTACCACTCACGTAGCCGCTGTGGAGAGAGGGGCTCCCGCCGTGACGGGACACCCGGAGCACCTCCAGACTCAGCACACTCAGGCTCAGCACCCCCAGACTCAGCACCCCCAGGCTCAGCACCCCCAGGCTCCACACGCTCAGGCTCAGCACCCCCAGGCTCCGCACCCTCAGACTCAGCAACCCTAGGCTCAGCACCCCCAGGCCCCGCACCCGTAGGCTCAGCACCCCTAGCAGCACCAGAGTCGACAGCTACCTCGACAGGCTCGACAGGGTCTACCTGGGACACACCTGAGGGGGCAGGACCCTGAGGGGGGAGGGGGTCTACCGGAGGAGCACCTGGTGCGAGGAAGAGCGGCAGGGGGGGGAGAGGGGCAGTGCGGTAGGGAAAGAGACGGTTGTAAGATACCGACTCGTCAAACGTGACGTCCTGAGAGGACAGAACACGACGCGAGGTGGGGTGGTAAAACTGCCACCCAGGCGCGTCAGGGGGGAAGCCAAGGAAGACGCAGGGAACAGCACGGGAGGACAGCTTGTCCGCGGAAGAATCGCGGACAAAAGCTCGAGATCCCCAGACACGGAACACAGACGCATCGCCAACCTTCCCCGTCCACCGCAGAGTAGGTGTGGTCTCCGGCAAGGAGACACGAGGCTGAAGGTTGATCTGATGCGCAGCGTACTGAACCGCGAACGGCCACAGAAAATGGGGAGCAGCCGCATGGATCATGGACGTACGAGCGACGTCCATGACCATGCCAATGCGGAGCTCAGCAATCCCATTTTGCTGTGGGGAGGCCGGAAGCGTGAACGTCTGGCGGATGCCCTCCGCACGACAGAAAGCCCTTAGAAGGTCGGAGGAAAACTCACCACCCCTGTCTGAGTGCAGACGCAGAACAGGAAGGTCCGAGCCGAAACTCTCGCTGAGCTGGCGACGGGCACCGCGGATCTAGTCGATCAACACCTCAGTGACCTCACCCTTGCGGCGCAAGGGGAAGACTGTGGTGTAACGCGAGTAGTCGTCAACGACCAGCAGGAAGTAACGCTCGTGACCCTGTCCACGGACGCGGGCTGGGCCCCACACGTCCATGTGGAGAGTATGCAGGGGAGCCTCTGTCGGAGGGAACTCGGAAGAGTGAGGAGCGGCGCGTTGCCGGCCCTCAACACAAGGAACACAGGTAGGGGCCGGCCCCGGAGGAAGGGGAGGGAGGGACCGGGGGAGACCAGAGACAAGGGTACGGGAGGCCATACCTCGAAGACGAGGCAGGGAGGGGTGACCAAGGCGGTGGTGCCAAAGGAGAGTCTCGTGTGACAGAGGACGACACGAGCAGGGGGCAGACGCCGGACTAGACCTGGACGCGGCAGCAAACACCTGACCAGACGCGGCTACCTGACCAGACGCAGTGACCGGAGGAGACGCAGTTAGTCAGTGTGTACAGACTCGACCCAGGCCGACGGGTGAACGTGGCCAGGTGGCGGCCCGTCCGAGAGCAAGTGCAGTGGGTCACCCGCTGACCTCCAGGGGTGAACTGGTCAACCCACACGTCCTGGAGGTCAGCTCCACTGACCAAGTTCGTAGACAACGAGGGGAGGTGGAGTCCCGACAGCAAGCCCGACGGGGCCGCAGGACACGGTAAAACCGTGGAGGAGTGCGCAAGGACCGGGCCCCCAGAGGGGTCAGCCAGGGAGACTGCGACTGGCCGACTGAGCGGTGTGAGTGTGGTGCTGTCGCGAAAGAAGGAGCGCGAAGCACCGGAGTCAAGTGTGAAAGTGTGGAAGGCCTTTGTAGGTGCAGTACCAAAGAGAGCAGACTCACCAGCACCTGGAGCAGCAGACTCACTCGTACCTGGAGCAGCGGACTCACTAGCACCTAGAGCAGCAGCCTCAATGCCCAGGTGGGGCGGAACACACAGGTAACAGTCACCCTCAGCACTATCAGTCACAGCATACATGGCAGCAAGGATAGCATCGAAATCAAGATCAAAGATAGCAACGTTCTGCGTATGCAGATCACCCCAGCGAGGGAGCTCAACAGCGTCAGGAAATTGGGCGCGCCAGGCGTCAGTCAGGCGACCGAAGCAGCGCTGCGTAGTGTGTGGCAGTCCGCACGTCTCCCCACGGCGCCCGCCGGTGCGAAGAGCGTAAGTGCAGGGACCAGCACCCCCAGACCTCCCACGCCCAGCGTACCACTCACGAAGCTGCTGGGCCGACGGGGTCTCACGGGAACGCGGCTGCTGCTGGAGCTGGCTACCACCAAAGCCTCCACGCTGCGCGGCTCCACCTCGACCAACACCACCGCCGCCGCCACCTCCACCACCGCTGCCGCTGCCTCCACCGCCGCTGCCGCTGCCTCCACCACCCCCACCGCCGCCACCGACGCCCCTACTCCCGCCACCACCCCCACCTCCACCGCCACCCCCTCCGCCTCCTCCACCGCCTCCACCGCCGCCCCCACCGTCCCCTCCACCACCCTTGCCCCCCTTGCCCTTGCTGTTGCGGCGCCTCCCACTAGGAGCAGACGCAGCCCCGACCTCCTCAAAGCTAACGAGGTCGACAGCAGCAGCAGAAGCAACAGAGGGGAGAAGGGGGACAGGGGAACACCCCTCAAAGAAAGGGGCGCGAGGGTCGCCGCGAGAAGCACCTACAGCAAACGATACTCTTCTCAGCTGCAGTGAGGCGCTCCTCTAGCAGGTCGATGGTGAGCTCGGTGGGGTAAAGGGAGAGAAAGTGGTCCCTGACTGAAGAAAGGGAGCCAGGGAGACGGGTGACTAGGTAGTAGAGGGTGATGTACATGGAGGGGGGGTTCTTGGCACAGAACTCAGTGGGAAGCGCAGCGCGGTAGCGGGCGTCACTAGTGCGGAGGTGAGTAATGAGGTCAGCGACTGTGGCAAAGGCGGCAAGGTCAGGGAACAGGTACGGCGGCATGAGGCGACTGAGGGCAGCAGTGGCAGGGGAGGAGTAGCGCGCTACGACAGCGTCATACAAAGACTTAGCAGTCTTGTACTGGCCAAAGTGCGCGCGCTCAGCAGACGGCAGGTGACTATGAACAGCAAGGCGAGCAACAGCCTCACGAGTGGTCCACTGCGAGCGAACCGTACTGTCAGCAGTGGCAGCAGGTGCAGGAGAGACACCAGACGTGTGATCGAAAAGGGATACTCCGTCCTTGGAGTCACACTGAAGAAAGAGCTGTAGGTCGTCAACCCACACGTCAAAGTCAACCGCACGCCCCTCAGCATCAAAGGTAAGAACATTAGGGCTAGCCATAGCGGCAGTAGCAGCAGTAGCAGCAAGAGCAGCGCGGGCAGGTCAGTGCGGCTCAGTAGGGCGGCGCGGCTCGGCAGGGCGGCGCGGCTCGGTTGGGCGGCGCGGCTCGGCTGGGTGGCGCGGCTCGGCTGGGCGGCGCGGCTCGACAGGAGCGGCGCGGCTCGGCTGGGCGGCGTGGGTGCTTACCAGGGGCGGGTGCAGGGCAGGACCGCAGCTGGCGGTTAGGTCTGGGCCGCGACTAGGGCGGCAGTAGGGCAGGGCCGCGACTTGGCGGCGGTAGAGCAGGGCCGCGACTGGGGCGGCTGAAGAGCAGGGCCGCGACGAGTCGGCGGCAGAGCAGGGCCGCGACAGGGCAGCAGCAGGGCAGGGCCGCGGCTGGACGGCGGTAGAGCAGGGCCGCGACGAGCAGCGGCAGGGCAGAGGCCGCGGTGGGCGGCAAGGTCGGGGCCGCGACGAGGGGCGGCAGGGTAGGGCCGCGACGGGCGGCTAGGGTAGGCCGCGACGGGCGGCAAGGCAGGGCCGCGGGTGGCGGCAGAGCAGGGCCGCGACTAGGCGGCGAGGTCCGGGCCGCGACGAGGCGGCGACCGGGCAAGGCCGCGACGGGCGGCTAGGTCGGGGCCGCGACGGGCGGCACTAGGGTGAGGCAGGCGCGAGGCGCGCTTCGGGCAGGGCAGGAAAAAAAAATATTATAATCGGGGTGGGCCCTAAAAAAAAAAAACGTTCCCACGAGGGAACCTGCTCAGAATACCATGTCAGAATAGTGAAGGAAGGAGTGACTGAACTAGCAAGCAGGTGGGTACAAGTAGGAAACCTAAAAGTATTGTACCCTATATGAACTACCCCACTACAGCCTACACAGGCTATAGCATATAAGTTTGACAGCTACGAATGTATAGTGATGACGTTCGGCCTCACAAACGAACCTTCGAATTTTCAACTGACCAAGAACAGGGTGTTTCGCAATCTTCTCGATAAGTGTATAATTGTCTACTTGGACGATATTCTGATTTTTAGCAGAACACGCAACCAACACCTCCACGACCTCGTTGTGGTATTTAAGCGCCTTCACGACAACCACCTCATCACCAAGGGTTTTAAGTGCGAGATTTTTAAGCAAGAGTTGGGTTTTTGGGGGCACGTCATCTCCCGCGACGGCATTAAAATCGACATGACGAAGATTACGACCATCCAGGAGTTGAAGTCCCGACTAATGTCAGAGCTTTTTGGGTTCGTGAATTACGTCAGGCAGTTTATCCCGAATATAGCGGGGATAACCGGCCCGCTGACCGACCTACTGCACAAGGACGGAAATTTTGTGTGGGGGGAGGAGGTTGAGGCGGCTTTTCAGGAGTTGAAAAAAAAAATCACGTCCCCTTCAGTTATACGCATCACCGACTCATCCAAGCCATTCGAAGTCGTAACCGACGTCTCAGATTTTGCCATCCGCGCTGTTCTCCTCCAAGATTTCAGCAACAGTTTGCAACCGATCGCCTACGAGTCACGCAAGCTACAGGCAGCCGAGCGCAACAACCCGATATACGACAAGGAGATGCTCGCCTACATTCACGCGTTCAAGCTTTGGCGCTGCTACTTGACGGGCGCCGACGTCACTGTTCGCACAGACCACAAGTTACTACAGTGTCTCCGTGCGCGACCCAACCTCATCCCGCGAAAAATCAGGTGGCTCGACTACATAGATACCTATTTCACCTACTGTTCCGCCCGACTCCATGGTGTTCGAACGGCAAGACTTAGAACCACGGCTCTGATACCACTTGTTAACTACTATTGGGACTAGAAACCTCTAAGCACACCTTTAATTCACACTAGTTTGTCCCCACGGGGTCACCTCCAAGGGTCCTTGGGTGCCTGGCAAAGCCAGCCCCTAACCAAGGGTCCGTGTTTGTCGAGGGACGTACTAATTGTAAATACAGTCGTGTGTACTAGAACTTTCCCAAACACATTTGCGCAGCGTTAGTTGACGGATTGGCTCGTGTGCGGAATTTCTCCTCGTGTCAATACGTCGATAGAGAATATTTCATTCACAAAAAGGTTAATCACAAAAAAACGCAAGCACAAATTTATACTAGCCCACAAAAAACGAAAGCTAACAGCCCACCGAAATAACAACTAGAACCATACTCCGAATTGCCAACTTTCTCCATGTGAAACCACTGGCAACATACTCGCCCATGAACGTTTATGTGGGCCATACTTGTTCGCGAAGCCTCGTGGACGCTCGTGGTGTTTCGTGGTGACCACTCGTGACAGCTCACGGAATCTTCTGAAGAAATCGCGCAGTTACGCGACGAAATTACGAAGTCGCCGAAATCACTCGCGCACAATTCGCACCAGCATCGAATGTAAATCGCGCGCTTCACGAAACACCCCGTAGCGAAATTCCTCTCGGCTAATGAGGACAAACAGCTCGAGGGTCCCACAGTTCAATTGTGGACCCACGCGCGCTTGACTTTTCCTCACACAATCCATAGTACCACACTTGCGCGTGTGGCGAATCCACCTGCGGCCTCAGGCCGCGCGTGTGCACACGTTGGCACACTTCCATGATTGCGCCACAATCCCAACAGTGCTCGAGCTCATGGCTTCAAGCCTTGACCACCTCGATAAGGGCGAGTTCTCTTAAGCCTCATTAACAAACACGAAATTACTTACGAACTCATTAAAACAATCAAAACGCAACTCCCAAACTTTACCTGAAAACTCACGAACTTGCATGAAATCACACGAACGTTTCACGAACAGACTCACGAACATTCACGACACTTTCACGAACACTCATGACTCGCAGAACAAATGAAATAACAGGAACGCACACAAAATCTCGGAACTCACGAAACTGTCAGATTTATATGACATAGCTACTGTAGGCTATAGTGGGGTAGCACATATGGGGTACAGTTTTCTAGGGTTTGCTTTTGTACCCAACTTTCCCTTAGTCAATTCATTCCTCATTTCTTCACATGGTATAGAGCAGGTTCCCTAGTGGGAACGCTTCCTTGGGCCCACCACTGAAACCTTTTTTTTCTGACCGGAGCGACAGTCGCTCCTGCCCGAGGCGCGCCTTGTGGGCCGCCCTTCTGTCGAGCTCTCTTAGAGGCCCCTCTCACGGCCCCTCGCGCCACCCTTAGCGGCCCCGTCGCCGCCCCTAGCGGCCCCGTTGCCGCCCTTCTAGGCCCCTTGCGGCCCCTAGCGGCCCCATTGCCGCCCCTACGCAGCCCCAGTAGCCGCCCCTAGCGGCCCTGTCGCCGCCCTTAGCGGCCCCGTTGCCGCCTCCCTCCCTACGCGGCCCCGTTGCCGCCCCTACGCGGCCCCGTCGCCGCCCCTAGCGGCCCCGTCGCCGCCCCTACGCGGCCCCGTCGCCGCCCCTAGCGGCCCCGTAGCCGCTCCCCTCCCTACGCGGCCCCGTCGCCGCCCCTACGCGGCCCCGTCGCCGCCCCTACGCGGCCCCGTTGCTGCCCCTAGCGGCCCCGTCGCCGCCCCTAGCGGCCCCGTCGCCGCTCCCCTCCCTACGCGGCCCCGTAGCCGCCCCTACGCGGCCCCGTCGCCGCCCTTACGCGGCCCCGTCGCCGCCCCTAGCGGCCCCGTCGCCGCTCCCCTCCCTACGCGGCCCCGTCGCCGCCCCTACGCGGCCCCGTCGCCGCCCCTAGCGGCCCCGTCGCCGCCCCTACGCGGCCCCGTCGCCGCCCCTAACGGCCCCGTCGCCTCCTCCCACCCTACGCGGCCCTGTCGCCGCCCCTACGCGGCCCCGTCGCCGCCCCTAGCGGCCCCGTCGCCGCCTCCCTCCCTACGCGGCCCCGTCGCCGCCCCTACGCGGCCTCGTAGCCGCCCCTACGCGGCCCCGTCGCCGCCCCTAGCGGCCCCGTCGCCGCTTCCCTCCCTATGCGGCCCCGTCGCCGCCCCTACGCGGCCTCGTAGCCGCCCCTACGCGGCCCCGTCGCCGCCCCTAGCGGCCCCGTCGCCGCTCCCCGCCCCTAGCGGCCCCGTCGCTGCCCCTACCCGGCCCCGTCGCCGCCCCTAGCGAGCAGCCGAGCCGCCGAGCCGCCCAGCAGCTGAGCCGCCGAGTCGCCCAGCAGCCGAGCCGCCCCTGGAGCAGCCGCCACTGCAGCAGCCGCCCCTGGAGCAGCCGCCACTGCAGCAGCCGCCCCTGGAGCAGCCGCCACTGCAGCAGCCGCCCCTGGAGCAGCCGCCACTGCAGCAGCCGCCCCCGGAGCAGCCGCCACTGCAGCAGCCGCCCCTGGAGCAGCCGCCTCTGGAGCAGTCGCCCCTACAACTGCCGCCCCTGGAGCAGCCACCCCTGCAGCTGCCGCGGAGCTCTCGCTCTACAGTGGTAGCGGCCTCGCCGTTGCCGCCGTCGTACGCCTGCCCTTCTCGCCACTGGTGAGCACTGCCCTGCCCGTACTGCTGTTACTGCTGCTTTTACTGCTGCTGCTCTTTCTACTGCTACTGCTGCTCCTGGCGTGGCCAGATGCAGCTCCAGCGTCGCCCGCGTGAGTCCCTCACCCCCCAACAGCTTCGTGCGTGGTACGCTAGTTGGGGTTGTCGGGGTGGCCGTAGTGGGAGTCGTCCTGGAGTGAGTAGTTCCACAGCTGCTTGTAGTGGCCAGGTGCAGCTGCAGCGTCGCCCGCGTGAGTCCCTCACCCCCCAACAGCTTCGTGAGTGGTACGCTAGTTGGGGTTGTCGGGGTGGCCGTAGTGGGAGTCGTCCTGGAGTGAGTAGTTCGGCAGCTGCTTGTAGTGGCCAGGTGCGGCTTCAGCGTCGTCCGCGAGCAGTCCTTTCGCCCCAGCAGCTTCGTGAGTGGTACGCTCAGCGTGACGGGTCACGGGGTACTGCTCGCTGTCCGTACGTCATTCGCACTGGTGCTCGGACTGGTCAGCCTTGCGGGACGTTGGGTCACGCAGAGTCCCGCTGCTTCGCCCGTCTGAGCGACGCCTGGCGTACGGAGTTTGGCGACGCGGCTGAGCTCCCCGACTGGGTGGAGC